TGAAGGTGAAGGATTGATGCATACATATGCTTTATTTGATTTGTGGTTACCACAAAGTCGATATGTTCAAGAAAAAATTCATCAATGGACTCGAGAACAATTGTTAATTGGAATGCAATCAATGTCGAAATTAAATGCAATTACAACAAATCAAGGGTGTATTTAGAATTCACAATCAAATTCATTCAATTCGACTTGGCTTGACTTTGTACGAGTGTGTAAATAGTTTTAAACATGATTCTGTAGATAATATTAGACAAAATTAAGATTTAGACAAAACAAAAGAAAATTGTTAAAAAATTCAAAAAGATAATCAATCGAGATATATTATAATAAATAAATTATGTTTTATATTAATTTTTTATGTTTAAATTAAAATAAAGTCTAGCTGAATCTGAAAATCTGCAGAGTTTGCGATTACTTTCTGTTGAAATCTAACTTATTTCAGCAAGCTTCAACGAAAAAAAAAAGAACCTTTGAGCTCATGTTTATTCTTATTAGGTGTTTTTTGTATCACAATTGCTATGAAATTTTTCTCATACAATGTTGCTCGTGAAAACAAGGCTGCATTTATTTTCGGAAGTAATTACAAACAATTTAATAATTTTAGATTGTGTTAAGCGATCCATAATGTCGTTTATTGTATTACTGAAGACCTTAGGAAAAGACAATCACAGCCGAAGTTTTCTCTGTGATCTTGAGATCGTGAAGTCTTTAAGAGAGAAATCACCAAACGATCAATCAAATCCATATACAACTGTTCACTGATAAAGCTTATTTAGCATTTTCGCAGTTCAAACGAGACATCAGAGCGTGAAACTGATGAATTCAAGATAGTAGGTTTTTTGACATATTTACACAAAATTTCGAAGTTCACAATTCCTCACTATTTGCTATTCTCCCATAAAAACTTAAAAAACTGTCTATTCCTACACCTTTATGGCTTTTGAGTCTTTTTAGGTCTCTGATCGTTCCTTTGACCCAGGTAAGATCTTAAAAGATGCAGAAAAGAACAATCTACAATATGGATTACAGTAGTGGATATTATGTTGGTTATTAGTAGTCAATCCATAAGAGAAGAGATACCTATCGTTGATTGTGTCCTTTTTATAGTTGTTTGCTTCTAACATCGTTGAGTCATGATGTTCAAAATAGGAAGTCTAATGTCTGAATGCTCTCGAGATATTACTCGATGTGCAAAAATCGTGTGTGTAAAGTTTAAGCAGGCACCACAATTGATACACTTCGATACAATTTACTACTTATTTTGACTAATCATTAGCTATTGTGTTGACTAGATTCGTCGCAAATCAAAGTATGACTTTAAATTCAGAATAAGCATCAAGAATGATTATAAAATGCTATTTGATCGAATTTTTGATTCATAGAATTGAAGAAACCAAGACGAATACAAGCGTAAATTTATCTCAGAATAGATATTGATAGTCATCTTTATCAATTTGTCTAGCTTTTCCAAAGAGGAGATCAGATGAAGTCTTGTTTCTTATTTCATATCAACAGACTTCAAACTCTACAAGTATTAATTTAAATCTTTTTAGACGTTGTTATTATCTTGAGAAAGTTGAGTTTTTTCCATGAATGTGCCAAAACCATATAAAACTATTCAGACTGTGCTCATTTTTAATAACTGCCATTGTTATAATTCATTATTGTTGCGAAATAGATAGCATATCAAGAATTAGTGCACAATGTACACCAGATCAATTGCACTTTAGCAAAATTATTTTTTTTCTAAAATAAATTTTTTTCAAAATATATTTGATCTGATGTAGGTTTTAGCACTGAACTCAAATGTGCTATTGATTTTACTCTCATATTATGCTATGTTGTGAAAACCTGTTCAATATGAACACCATTATAACAACTTTGAATGGTTTTTTTTCACATAAAGTAACAACCGTGATTCCTAGTGGAAATCCGTACATGTCTATTAGCCTCGTGAGTTATATATCAAAAGATCTCAGATTTCAAACGCTTTGATAATTGGAATTTCTATTGTTTTAGAATGCCATGACTCGAAGAGTTTAGAGATAAATTACTCGAAAAAACAACGATCATTATACGTAGACTACACTTCCTTGCAGGAGCACGATCAACTTATCAGACACATGATAATGATCACTGGTATAATGTGTTGTGTAGAAAATTGATTTTTTTATGCCTTTTGAAGCTTTCTCTGACTTAGAAGGACGATCAGAAACAGAAAGAATCTTAAAAAATAATGAAATATAAAAAAAAAGAGATTTAAAAATTTTTAAAGTCTGACTAAAAACACTGGGACTTGCCTGCTTTGGCATTTTTCACAAATGATAAGTCCAAAAATAAAATAGCAGCAAGTAGGTTGAGTGATAGTCTGGTGGATGCTCTCTTAGACAGATTATATCAAGACCTGCGATACAAATGCATCAGATCTGATCAAGAAATACTTTTTAGAAGCGAAGGAACTATTTTGTCAAGATCATGTTTATAACATGTTTGTCTCCAATAATCTATTCAACAAAGACGGAAAACAGAAGATACTTGTATATCTTGGTATGATTTTCGATATGAACTTAGATTTATACATCGCCTATTAAACTTTTTCAAATTTATTGAATCGGTGTTCAAGAAACAAACATTATTCTAAGCTGAAAACCATTGGAGGGAGAACTAGGTTATATACTAAACTCTGGAATAAAATATTCTATATTTATCATTTTTACTCTATAAAAAATCAGAACGTTTCGTGTATACCATACTGCTAGTTTTAGATATCTTCATATTTCTATATGTGCAGACTGTGAATGATGCTATTCTTTAATAGTTTAGATTTATCACTTTCTTGCTTTATGTCAATCCTATAGGCAAAACCGGAAAGCATCTAAATAAACTAGTAGGAAGGATATCAAAATAGTATCATAGATTTGTGCAAGTTAATATAAATGCATTACTGTTTATTTTATGTATGTCATTTTGTTTCATTTCTTCAGACAACATTTCACTCTGTTACTGAAAAATATTTTAGATCATTACTGAATGAAAATTGGTGATTCTACCCAGGTCCACTGTTCCGAACGCAGGGACCGTTTGTTTCCTTTGTTTTCCGGCAGCGGATCCTATAGATTCCGCTGGTTTTCGGTCGGCTCCGTTGACTTCCGACGATTTCTTGACTACAGAATTCCGGTCCAGTTTCCGCCGGAAAAATTCCGTTAAGTTCCGCAAAATTTCGACCAGAAATTCGTCGGAACCGATGGAAACTGATCGGAACTGGTCCGACGAAATCTGGACCGGAATCCTGTAGTAAAGAAATCGTCGGAATTCAACGGAACCGATCGGTTCCGACGTACCGAGCTTGACCTGGGTATTAATTTCAAATGATTCCATCGAGTTAATTCCTTTATAAAGTATTCGACTGTATCAAACAATTGTGTATCCCCTTCTATAGTTAATTTAGAAAAAAAAATTACATGACGTGCATTTTATTTCAGATAATTTATGCTCTAGTTGAGATTTTTGGTAGGTCAACTTAATTCATCGTATTATCATGAAAAATGCATCGGACGAAGTTCGAAAGAATGGCATATTTTAATTATAACAAAAAAAAATTTAATGAAATTTAACTTTATTAGTTTTTAAGTAACGAAACTAAAAGTTGTTACTTCTATTGAAATCCTTATAAAATTATCCCATGAGTTATAATTTTTTATTTATTTTTATGAACTAAAACAATGCCATGTTCTTCATTAGTTGACTCTTTTTACTACTGATCCTGATCCATGTCTCAATTTATAATAGGTACTAAGACAAATTCTCTTTTTCAACTGAAAATTCAAATAAAAGAATTAAACGATTCCTTCTCTCAAAACATTTAAATCACAACTGAATACTAGATTATTTTAAGAAGTAATCAATCAAACACTATATTGAGTGGTGATAATTTATGCTCTCGGACCATCATGAAAAAGCAATCAAAAAATAGAGATAAAAAAGGATATACACAATCAGATTTAGCTGAATAAAAAACGAATACCTTCTTAAAAAAAAATGGAAAATGAGTACTGTGATATGCTTAACATTACTAAAAATACAACACCAAGTAAAAGTGTGAATTCTTCTCAAAAAAAAAAAAGTTTACTTGTACAACATGATAAAAATAAATGCAACTGACGCTACAGAAGCAATAAAAAGACTGAATAAAGCTCTTACTACACTGTTGAAATAGATTTGACAAATCGAGTAGGTTTAATATTAGTTATAGAAGGAACCGTTCATTGTTTTATCAAAGATAAAGAAATACAGTTTCATTTAATTTTTTATTATTCTAGTTCTTTTTTCCATCAGTTATTGTTTATTATGAATAAAAGTATACCCATGGTCATAAATGATGTCTTATTGCTGATGATGAAGATACTCATAAAGGGTGCTGTGTGTGAATGCGCTGTGCTATCTCTATGTGCACCCACATCCTACTTCGGACACACAAAAAAGAAATTGTTTTCGTATTTCAAGTATAAAGTACTCTTTTTGGTACTTAAGTACATGTACATTTTTTTCAAATACAAGCAAAGTACTTTTACTGTAAAATATACGAAAAGCTCAAGTACAAATAATACTTTCGTTCGACCTCTGGTATTAATATTTACAATTATGATTTTTATGACGTATTGGAAAAACCGACGACATCATACATATCCATTGAATATTAAAAATATTTCAAAAAAAAACAAAGAATGTTTTTTTTTTATTTATGATAGTCTTGAATTATACGACAGTGATGTAATAAACATGCATGAAGATAGATAAATATCGATGGTCACATATGAAGAATGGATCAATTTGTTTCATAATGTACTTTCATAAAAGCAACGATTTTTTTTTTTTCTATATTTAATATAAACTATCAATAAATTTTGCTCAAGTAATCAAATTTTTTCTTACATTTTAACTACATCTTTTAAAACACGATCTAAATGGATTGTTGAACTACAGAGAATAAAAATTACTACGATCTAGTCATACAGATATGATAGACCGTAATATAAATTGTTCATATAGAATCAAAGACCAAATATGAACTAGTTTCTCATTGTATTTCTGGAGGATTAAGTAAAAAGATGATGAAATAATATGTATTAAAATAGATCATATAGAACAATCTTCCTTTGA